CCGTGGATCTTGGCCGGCCGGCCGGCCGGCCAGCTGGACCGTGGTTCTTGGCCGGCCGGCCGGCCGGCCGGCTGGCTGGCTGGCTGATCGAGAAATAGCGGGCCGCGATAAGCTCGCAATGGAGACCAGAGCAACATGTTTGGTTCATGGGGTTGAAATATTGAAATAACTCTTCAAAACATACGTGGAAGTGATGCACCAAACAAACTGACATATACGTGGCAGCGTGCAAGGTAAAACGATCCTTTCATGGAAGCGCGTGCTCTGAAAGACTTGTGGGGTTCCTGAAGTAGACTTGCCCTGAAAGACTTGTGGGTGAATTCCAGCACAACGGAAGAATACACTGAAGGGATGGTTGACTGTAGGAAACGGCCGGTAGTATTGCTCCAAACTTTAAACGAGCAAGGTCTGTGGGTTTCATCAGTTTCTATACGCTGCGGAAAATTAACATGGAACCTGAAAAGCACCCCACATCCAAGAATCACTCACAGTTCATACAGTTTTAGGGTACATCTGGACATATTACATATAGCTATCCCACCCAGGGAGTCTTCCCGGTGGATATGTTCAACTCAAAAAGAAGCCTATAGCTTCACTAAACGCGAGGTTGACTTTGCGAAGCAAACCTCCTGGCCCCTCACCTTGGCATTCTTCAGTGGAAACATCCTTGGCCCTCCACTTTCCAATGTTAGAGCGGTTTTGTGACTCGGAGCCTGACTCGGGTTGAGTAAGGCACGCACCCAGCTCACCATCTGCACGTCCTAGCTCCCACATGACCAAATGTGACTCATGTATACTCATGTGACCCACACACCGTATACAGTGGTTTCAGAGTATCCCAGAACTTCCAACGTCGAAGTTTAACTTAGCCAATGAGAAACGTCGAAGTTAAACTTGTACACCTCAGTGCGTCTAAGTTTTACTCATGTTAGTTGTCTTAAACAGAACAGACTCCGCAGAACGACAAAGTTTAACCTGGTTAAACATAGACAGAAACAACGTCGAAGTTAAACTGAGCCTTTGAAGATTAGGGGTGTAATCTCACCATCCCCGAAACGATCAGATATAAACCACCAGAAACACCTGTGTACCAGCTCTACTCACTCTCTACTCACTCTCTCCGTCGACCCCCAGAAACCCCACCCGACCCATACCGACCCGTCTCGGTCCCCCACTCGGTCCGTGGAGCCCGGGTGGACCACCGGTGCCGCCCGTCTCGGCGCGCGTGGAGCTGTGCAGCACGGTGCTGGTCCAGCCTGACACGGAGCCCTGCGACGTCGTTCGGAACCGAGGAACCGAGGAGGACAACGGCATGCCGTGAAACGACGAGGAGAACGGCAGGTGGGTCATGTTTTCATGTGGCTTCATGTTTGTGCTGGAAGGCTTCGTTAAGGGTTTGTGCTTTTGGGCTATGTCTGCTTCCATTCATCGATTTCATGTAACGAACCCGGCGGGATGTTTGTGTTGAATTTGTCAGGGATGTTTTATTCTAGCATGTTGTAGCCTATATGATAGCTATAGCATTTAGTACAGGTGAAAGCTGCAGGGAAAATCCTTGATCCCTAAAGCACATCCCTTGCAACAAAACCATACCTGTGGAGCACAGTATTGAGAGTGGTTTGACAAAAGGTTTTCCATTCCCATCCCATCCCCTTGACGGAGCCGTTGATATCACCATCTCGCACCATATGACAGTCCCTCACTTTGGTAGGACACCGCTTGGCTTTCTCCGTTTTGGTATGCCACCAGTCTGGTTGTTGGGTTAAACGGTTAAACATGGTTAAACCATATCCTGAGCGCTTGGGTCTTCTTGGCCAATCGTGGGACACCGCTTGGCTGTTGAAGAAGTGGCCCTCCATTGCCGTCCAGCATTGATCTTGCATCGAGTGACCACTGTCAGGCTCTTCGATCTGCATGCAAATGTCCTGAAACACAGCAAACCCCAGAATCAAGTCTCTGTATGTCCACGTCAAGCATGGTACTGTTGCAAAAATGCAGCTGTTGCATTCAACATGTTTTGAATGCTTGTGTGGGATCTCTTGTCTTAGACTTGAAACAAGATCTGCAGGGATTGTAAGGCTTCAACCTTCCGATGTATCTCACATCTACGTTCAACCTCAAAGCAAACACAAAAAAGGCATGCCTGGCCCTACTTACCTTACTTATTCCTTACTTCGTGTTCATACGTATGTTTCCATGTGTGTTCCGGTCTTCCAACGTCACCGGTTCCCGGGGGTCCTCCTGGGCCTCCAGCACCAGGTTTGGGACCTCCGTGAGCGATGTGGCGCTGGGCGCCGGAGAGAGCGTGGGCGAGCTGCGCTGCGAGTTGCGTGGGGACCACGTCGGCGAGGCCAAGGGGGAGTTCAAGAGCCTCCCAGGTGCGCAGATGCGCAGGGTAGAGGAAGGAGAGGCTGAAGGTGGAGACGTGGGCGGTTGACTGACCTGTGATGACATGGACTCTTTTTGTGGTCCTTATCGAACATCCCGTGAAATGGATGAGAATGAGAAGCTTGTGCGTTTGCAAAGGGCTGCAAAAGAAAGGGCTGCAAAAGCACTCGACTTGGATCTGGGCGCCAGCCGAGTGGTCAGTCAACATGTCCTGCATATAATATAATGCAGAATGTTGCGGTGGAATTTATGGTAGGAATATGGTAGGCATCAGACCAACAAATGATCCAATGTGAAACCTGCAAGCACACTTTGAGATCTCAGCAATGGACAATCTAACCAAGCGTTTTTCGAGTGTTTGATTCAAAATTCCACACACAAATGGAGTCCCCTCAAGCTAAAAAGAACCACATACACATCGACATGGAAGAATAATGCCATTTCACTCTTCACTCCCAGCACCTTTAACCTTAAGTCTAGAAGATGCAGACCGTATATCGCGTATATGACCGTCCTCCTGCCCCAGTAGACTACCTTTCCACCGGAGAAGAAAAAGAGTTCCCACGCCTCTCCCGCTTGGAGCTGCCCAGACCCGGGATGTGCAGGGGCGCCCCGTCGATCTTCCCATGCGCCGCCCGGTGCCTCGGAGTCGCACGCCATCGCCCAAGAGAGCGATTCACGCCCAACATCCACTGTACGTGACCCGTCACATCATGTCACTATATGTAACTATTCCTTGTATTCCTCCCAAAATGTGAAGGTGGTTTCTTGGTGTCAACTGGTCATGGTCAAATCCAAGCATATGATGCTTCTTGAATGGAGGTTTGGACCTGGGTGGTAAGATAGAAAGATATAGCAAGCGGGTACCTGGAGTCTCAAAGTACCACAGAAATCTGGGTACACGTATGTGTTTGTATAGGGTCATGTCCCATTTTCTAAGGTACTTTGGAAGGGGCCAGGTCATTTTCTTTGACGTAACCCTTGCGATCGGATGCAGTCTGAGTCCGAACCTCCTTCCTGGTCACCGTTGGCTCGTCCGACATCCGTCGTCCTGATGTCTTCCTGGCGCCTGAGGATGAGGATCATGACCATGGGCATGATGAAGGTCCAAAGTACCGAGCCGAATCCCGTGGCAATGCCAACAATCCTGAGGTTCAAACATGTTCAAACACCAGGGAGACACTATCTCGGAACCGGGGAGACCAAAGATGCAATGCAAAGCTTATATAGCTATAGCGGACTGCAGTTGCTGCGCAGAAGTGATAGTGGTTTTCAGTACACAGGGATTGGCAGTTCTAGACAGGTAACTGTTTCACCTACATTGAGGTTCAGCCTATGCCTTAAAAGGCCAAATCCAGATTCGTGGTAGAGCATTGTTCAAGGCCAGCTAATTAGAGGGTGGGGTTCGATGCCTCGTAATGAGCTTTATTTCTGATTGAACTTAGCAGCCTGGCAGCTAAATCTTCGACTTTTCAATTGAGCAACATATCCATATCCAGGATAAGATCTTGGCATGATCTGTTTGCGCAAATATCAAAGTGTATAGTAACGTTTCTCATAGCTGGGCAATCCGGCTTTGGCAACCAACTGGCGCAAAAGTTCCACACATCAAAACCCCAGTGCTCCACAGACCTTTCTGACGCTTCGATCCAAAATGTCCCGGTCTCGGGCTAGAGCCCTTCTTGGAGGCGACGTTGGAAAAGACCATCTCCCTGTGAGTTCGAGGCTCGAGGTGACGTTGGGGAAGATCAATGCCAAAGAAGCTGCCACAGACATGATCACCTTGATGGCCGGTGCCGGAATAACGAGGATGGAGGCTTGGAAACCCATTGGTGACGAGTCTGAGACCGTAGCAAAGTGCTGTTCAGATTCAGAGGCTTGCTCTTGGTACTATGTACGAGTACATGATCAACACACTTTTCGGAGAACGTTGGAGAATGTAGTGAGGTATGTTCTTTGCGCACCATTGGTAATACGCATGTCCTGGCGTTGTTGGGGGGGCAGGGCTGTCAAGCGCGGAATCCTTGGGAGGGTAAAAGGTGTTGCTTTACACTTTCAAAGTCTTTCAAAGGTACCAGGGCCCCTAAGGGGTGGCTTTCATGGGGATTCTAGGGGCTATAAACGGGGGCTGTAGTAGAGTCAAAGACATGGGCGGCGCATCCAATGCCAGCTCTTTGTTAGTGCAGGTGTTCAGAGTTGCCACCACTCCGAACACCTGCACTGAGATCAGCCGTTAGCCTGGTTGCAAACTGGACAAACGATGGCCCAGTGTGAGTGTCAATGGCACCAAAAGCCCTTGGAATCATCTTCGAACTACGTCTCACCCACCACAACCTTCCGAAATTCAACATAACCCCCCTCCAGCAAATCCCAGAAGAATCACCATCACCATCACCAGTGCGACCCCGTCGTGTCAAACGGGGCGCGAGCGCCCCATCGTTCCGAGACACCGCGGTGTGAAGCACTCGCAGTGGCCCGGTCGGTGGCCTCACGTTCTCCACGGGGAACTCCAGCTCCGAGACGCTGGGCGTGCGCTGAGGTCGCTGGCCGAAGAGGAGCCGGAGACCCAAGGAGTGGAGAGCGCCTGCGTGCGAGAGACAAGGCATGCAGCGTGAGGGTGTCAGGTGTGGAATGTCAGACCCAAAACCGTGGAAATATGATAGACATGTTACTAGACATGTTACATGTTGTGTAAAACATGTGTAGACCGGCTCAAACTTGTTTTGAGCTGTTTGAGGTCTCGGAGAGAGGTGAGGCAAAACAAAGCACCTTGACGAAATGAACCTCTGCACAGTTGATTCTAGAACTCCTTGAGGCTTTTGGGATTACAAAATTGTTTGCTCTTTTTGTGTAGTGTGTGTGGACCTGGTCAGAAAACTCTGAGAGAGCACACAGAATTTGGAACAGGAACAATTAAAACATCTGCAGAGAAACATAATACCGTATTGTTCCTATATGTTCTTATAGTATGGATAATGGATAACAAACAATGCAATAAACAATACTTTTCAAGACATAAAAGTCCATTTTGTCCTTGTAATGCAGTAGTTTCATGTGTTTATTCTTTTAAGATAAACCACATGTTGACAAATCTTGACGTCCCAAATCCCACAAAAAAGTGGTGTTCTACCGTGAGTGGTGAGTTGAGTACTGCATTTATTTATGTATTTGTATAATTAAGTGTATATAATCACATGAAAACACGGGCCCCTCCATGAACCACCATACCACTGTAACAACTCCATTCCAGCTTGGAAGAGTGTTTTGATTGCACAACATGGTGCGTGTTCTGGCTGAATTATGCTGAATGAACGGAGCAACTCAACGTGATTCCCCTGCGAGCTATGCCTTTGCTCTTTCAATGCTCATATTCTAGCCTCTGCAATCCTCATCTTCACCTGTTGCAAGCACCTAAAAACCTGTCAGTGCCTTTCTCCACTTGCAGTGTCTTCATGGGCTCTGGGTGCAAACCCTTTGCCACTGTTCAAGAAGGAACACATGAGTCATGCAAACAGGTGCCTGTCTCAAAACAGGAGGGGGTCCTCAGAAGCAACACTTCCATCAAACAGTCTTTGTTTGAGACAAACTCTTGTGCCGCCCCCCAGCTCTGCCAGCTCTCAAAAACCATTACTCCAGCTGTCCTCCAGTCACTCTTGGCACCCTCACGGCATCCGACCGAATACCCGACCAAATGACCCGACCACCTACTCCACCAACACGATCGGAACCGTCCGGACCCGACCTGTGAGGGATCGGATCGAGTAGAGGACCTCAGGAAGTTGGTCCCGCGCGGGCTGCACGCCCAGCGGCAGGGCGATCCTGCAGCGAACACCACAGAGGTTGAGACGCGAGCAACTTGGGATGTGGCGCGTTGGGTGGAGGTATGGAGGTGTTGCGCATCCTATGCATTGACTTGCAACATGTACATGGAGGATCACGTACCAGAGCAGTATTCATAAGATGTCATAAGTTAAAAGATTAATAAAGGAATGAAAGCTGCCGCTGTTACACTGGAATCCCATTTCTGAAGTCCGCGTTTGCCCGTCCGACGCCATTTGCCCTCTCTTCTTGTGCCATGGATCAATAAAGAGCAACCAGTCAAAAGCTGCGCAAGCCATGCGGCTTGGTGGCTGCTGGGATAGGCCAACAAGATGTTCTCGGGAGTCTTTGCCTCAGGATGCATGTGGAGGAGTGCAACTCTGGCCTTCGCAAACAGCTGAGGTGTTTTCATCGCTCAAACCCAACAAAGCAAGTTTGATCAAGTTTGGCTGGGTGTACACCCCAGACTGTGGTTGACCATGAACCGAATCCTCTCGTAAACAATCAGCTGTACATGCTGACCTGGAGGATGGCCGGTTTGACTGATTTGAGCTCAGGTGCTCCATGGGCCATCACTCCACAGGTCGCCACCAAGGCATAGAGTAAGGAAAGGGAGGTACACGACCGCAACAGCACCTCTCATCGCTGGTGCGCGCCGCGCCGGGCTCCGCGGGCCAGGAGATGAGCCCCGACAACAAAACACGGAACGACCCGGCGATGTTCAGGCTCGAACGACACTTGCAAAGGTGGTTGATGGCATGGTCATTCAACAAGATTGGATGAAGACAGCGCAAATCCACGTTGTTGAGCACGTGCCATGGTTAACAAGTGCTGTGGCTCGTTACAGTGCTTGCGGGCAACACAAAAAACAAAAAACTTCCCAAATCCGCTGGTTCCAAGGGTGGAAGGCCCCAGGGTGTTTTCACTGCGCATAACCAAGCAGCTCAAGGTTCTAATTCTGGTGATTAGGGAACAGCTTTTCTGCACAACATATCATATATCATATATTATATCCAATCAATAAAGGACATAGCTTTGGGTACTCCGCAGGTAAGACTTCTGGTGCAAGTGTATTGGTGCACCAAGGGAAAGCAACGAGAGTGAATGTTTCTATTCCTGGATGGAGGTATAACGGTACCCAAGACATGACAGAAGGACACAAATCACAAAAAAAGGCATTCTGGGTTAGGGTTTAGGTTTAGGGTTTAGGGTTTCAATATGCATTTGGGAGTTGCACTCATTGTACTCCGCTGGTTTTTGGTTTTGAGGTTCACAGCCCGAAAGCAGGAGCCTTGTTGATGCGGCGGCCGTTGAAGTTGTTCATTTGCCTCAGACTAATGCGCTGCGATACGGCCCTCTGATGAACTTCTACGACACATGTCGTTACCCTCGGTTACCCTCCACTTGAAATGTGACGGCTTTCTCACTTTAATGTTGTACCGGGTTCAGTTGAAAAGTAAAGCACACAAACTTTCATGTAGATTATCATATTATCAACGCAACAAAAATGACTACACCCATCTAATTAGGTAACTAGCAATCAATACTAATTACCTACTACGTTTGACAATTTGTTCATGTCAAACGGCTATGGAAAAGAACACAAAAAACACACCACTCACACTTGTGATTGTGTCACTCTCACACGCCAAAAGGAAACAACCCTCAAACACACCCCTTAACGGCACGGAGTGTGACTAGAGTCGGCATGAGCTTGCCACCGAACTTGAGGGAGCACTCGCTTCTTTGCACCCCCCGGAACGGATACCTCGAGTGGTTTGATACCTACCTGCTCCACCAACAAACACATCCACCACCTCCACGTCTGTCTGCCCAGCTCGGTCTCGTTCCCAGCTGCTTGTAGACCGGGATCGCCACATGCTGACAGTACAAGGCACTCAGGACCAAGGACCTGGAGCAAACAGGAGGGACATAGACCTCTTTCAGGTCGTTCGCTACGCCTGGAGCCCAAACCCACCCCCAAATAGATCTGCTCTGTCGGTGGAGTTGACATCTGCGGTCTCGACTTCTCAGAGAAGTTTGTTGTTGCCTTCCAACAAGAGATCTGGCGATCCGTTGTTTTTTGGTGGGAGAGTTCCTACCTGGTCCTTGAGACCTTGAGACAAGTGTTACTTACAAAGATGTCAGACCAGAATTGCGTAGCGGGAGGTGTGATTGCGTATATCAAATCCCTTTTCAGGTTGAACGTGCAGGCCTAGAATACACAAGCTGTGCAAAACTAGGCACCAAATGGCACCAGCACAACCCCAAGAGTGGTGTGTGAATAGTATATGCATCTATATATACATTATATAATATTATATATATAGGCTCCCACGACATCCCATTACCATTGGACCATGTGTTTACTTTCCACAATTCCCTCTTTGCTTGGTGGCAGCATGAATTGCCCTTGATTCTTGGTAGAACCAGTTCACCCACGATAAGAAGGGACCTCAGCATGAGCTTGGTAGTCGAGGATCGATGGCCAGAATTATGTATTGCTTTGCATTGGGCAACATCAATCAGTACATCCGACTAAATGACACCAGTACAACACATTGCTGTTTTGAGTACTGGTATCAGTACATAATGTACATCAAGCTACATGATACCAGTACATCTCATGGTCGGGTGTATTGCTTTTGAATTCAGTGCTTTCGATTCAAGGCCACATTGCTTTCAGTCAAAATGCTGTCTTCTGGAATCCACGGTGTGGCTTCGTCGCAGACCTATTTTCGGATAACATTTCAACACATGATGGTCCCACTCAGAGATCAACAACACATCCCTGTATACAACAGTATACACAGGCTAATTAGAAAGAACCTGTGCTTCTCTCTTAAATCCTGCGCAAACAAACATACTAGTACTATACACATTAACAGTTAACGACAACATCGTGTGAATGTCCCCGCGGTCATCACCGGGTGAACCACTAGGGCACCGCTTCTGAACATGATGATCTCACATATCCCATTACCAGCAACAATGGATGATGGTTAGTAGTTAGTAAAGTCCTTTCTCTTTCGACTCAAAAACCATGATACACATGTACACCGACTGTTGCTGGTCATGGGCCACATGTACACCCAGTCCCACCTCTGGTCATGTCCCACCCAGTCTCCCCATCCGTTTCGAACACCATGGATCCAACCAGGCGCCCTGTCTGACGCTCCAAATTCACCCGGCCAACGGCTTTTTGGACCGGAACAAGAGGTAACAAGTGGGAAAAACCGATGCCAGCGACCATCGCCTTTTTTTGGGCTCCCTCGAAGTGAGTGACAAGCGGCCATGTCTGTGGAAGGACATACCAGATCTTCTCCTCAGTATGGCGGCAAATCATGGATTTGTCAAAACATTGCCATCTATGGTCCCTCTGTAGTGGCCACAACTGCTGCACTGCCTGAAATAGTTACACAAAACACTGTAAGTTGCAGAAATTGGGAAGCAGGTTTCGCAGAGAGCAGCTTGTTGACAGTTAGAATTGTATTCACAAAAACAAACATCATGGAGGCTCTGGTCTACAAAGAACCACATCTCATTTCTTGATCACATTGACCAACGAGGGATTGTGGGCCAGGGATTGTGGGCCATTGATCTCGGATTTCCAAGAATGTAGTGACAAGCCTTGCTGAAAAAAACTTACAAAGCAAAAAAGATAGAGTGAGTGAGTGTTCTTGCTCATAAATTTCATCATATACAAACATCATATCAGAATCAGAACTGGATAAACTTCCACCAACTCAGAATGGATTAATCGACAGCAAGTCTCAGACGTCCCGGAGGTGATCACAGAGATCTCCTCCACGTTTGGCTCATGCACCGCACTACTCACCTTGCGGAACTTCCGGTGTTCGGTCCAAACCAAACGGACGATGTCGTGCAAAGGATAGAGGTGACTGCGCAATGGCTTTCAATTCGGGGTGGAAAAAACTCCAATAATTAACACAATTCAGCAAGCTTGAGTACACAATCCGGAGTTGCACCACAAAGAAGTCTTGAGTCTGCAAGTGTCATCTGCACAGATTCTGTCTACCAGAAGCAGATTGCCGAAACACTGAACTCTAGACTGAACCGTCCGAAGAAAGAAACCACACATGTCACATGCCCTTTGGTATTTATAGAGGAAGTCTTACAAAGCTGAGTCTTGCCCCGGTCTTTCGGCGTCAGGCACCGCAAAACGATCAAACGTCAGGAGGGGCGATGATTGGTTCGAACGGTGATGATGATCATCGAACCAATCGAACCAGTGAACGTCCAGCCTTGGTGGTCTTCCAATTAAATACCTTGGACCTTGGTGGTTGAGCTATCCTCCACAACCTACCCTAGCCACCGCACACTTCCCTCCGAAAAGACCCCAGGAGTTCGCTAGTTTGGATGAAGCAGTCTGATTCACCGGAGTGACCTTTGAGACTCATCGGAGCCATGCTCCGATAAGCCTCTACTAGCAATGGCTCCGAACCGGGCACGTGATCCAAACTGGCTGTTGAATGACCATGTAGCTCACCCCGCCGAGCCACGACCAAACTGGCCATGAAGGCCAAACTGAAAAAGGAGACCACCTGGGCTGAGCAGAAAATCCTTGTGGAGCAATTGGAAACCCCGTCAGCTGCATGGTGAGTGACGACTTGGAATAATTTGTCAAATCTGGTCAGTCTGGTCAAGCTGCAAATAGAAAAACAAAGAACTTCCTGTAGTGGTTGACCTGTTCTTGAAAGAGATGTGTTTCACAACACACAGCGCCAGGGGTGAAGTGGTGACGTTCCTTCGACCAGACTTGGAAAAGTAACAATTTGGTTCGAACAAACATTGCTTCGTGGTCGCCCGTGTGCACACAGCAGTTGTGCACTTGGTGCGAACCCAGGACCCCACTGGACCAACGGTTGACCAACGCTTGAGGAACAGCACGCATTGCGCTTGCAGCGCCAAAACGTAGCTTTCACCCGCGCGACCTGTTCCGAAGCTCATAGAGGTTACACGGGCACCGACCTCTTCCAACACTCACGTTCTGACCCCTGGAACGAAAGGGGATGGATGACGTCGCAAGCACTATGCAAATACATGCGTTCGGTGAACCTAAACATATAGGCAAGGAGTTTGGCCAATGTTCGGCTCCCAAAGCAGCATGCTTTCAGTGAAAAAAAACAACCACATTAAGAGACACTTGCTCGGGAAGCACGCACGTTGCACCCTTTGTCTTGGCTATTGGCTTCAATAAGCCCTTGAACCCTTCAAGCCAACAGCAACTCTCGCCGGAAATCCTGGGCCCTGGTGCTTCTGCGACCGGGTGGTGGCCACATGTGACCACTGACATCACCCTGGCGTGCGCGTCAGGGCCGCTGTGATGGTTTTTGACCGATGTGACGGCCGTGGCACTGTGACGTGCCGGAGCACGGACATGTCCTTGGAGGCCGCTGCGGGAAAAGCGGCGAAGATGATCACAAAGGCCATCTGCGTCTTCGACAGGCGACCAAAGGCCATTGGGAGCCTGGGTTTTTGCGGGGGGGTTGGATGGTGAAAAATTTGGTGAGATTCCTGGAATGGCTTCCAGGAGGCACGGTGGATGTGTTTGATGTTTCCTTTTGATGAATGGATACCTGCAAAGTGATCACAGGAAGGTTGAGAGGAAATTAATCCAATTCTTCAAGCAAAACACAGTAAAGCACAGAATTGGCATTGGCGTGCTCGGTATTGCTTGACATCTCATGATATATAAGTGCTGTTCCCACCATGACCTCCAATGGTGCAACATATTGTGCATGAACACTAGCATCAGGATGGGGTGGTGAGATGCGAGCCAATCATAAAAAAACCATGCGGAGATTAAACTAAAGAATGGTGGAGGTGATTTCTTCTGTTGGCTTCTTCATTTGAGTGAAAGCTTCTTCTTCTTCTTCTCTCGCATGGTGGAGGTGACTCGGTGCCGGCTGAAGCCTGACGGCCTACTGGAGCGAATGGAATGCGTACGGCTCGGTTTGGAAGTGTTTGGAATACCGGCTCGTACAAAACAATAAAATGCATCAGCACCACGTGGAGTTGGAAGGTGTAAATAGCATCCCAACAAGCACTTGGGATGCTAAGTTGGGAAGTCATTGGCTTGATTGGCAGTGGCAGGGACCTTGGATGTGGGACCTATGCAAAACGTGCCTTACTTAAAACACACAAACATCGCCTTCAACCTGAAATCCAGCCAAATACCACCGTGAACAAGGACGAGTTTACTTCTTTTGAGACCAAACCACGGCAAATTGGAAGCATCGGGCGTCTCTTGTGGCGAGCACGGGCCTTCGGTGTGGGATGGTCACATGGATCCGTGTTCTCCCGTGAGTTCACCGGATCCAAAGGGCACGCGGGGCCACAGATCGGACAAGAACTTGATGAAGGCGGCCTCCAGGGGAGCCATTCGGGGTAGGGGAAATCCATGGAACCCTTTGGAACCGAACACCCATGGAACCCTTTGGATCCCAACGTGCAAAGCACGACCCTCCGCTCCGTACGAAACCCCATACAACTGTCTGGGGAATCTGTCAAGTCACCTACTATACAAGTCAAGTGTGTGTGGGATTGTGCTCAAAAAGAACAATATCCAAAAGCGGTATTCACTCCCGATCTTGAGCCAACATGGTATCAAGATCAGGAGTTTAAACACTTTTTCAAATTCCAACATGGCCCTACCCAACCATACATTCATTCTGGGAAGATAATGATGTGGTGGTCTAGCTGAGTCTAGCTACTGCCGAAACGACGTCACTTGCAGCACTTGCTCTGCACTCATCCGGGCAGTTTGGGCTTCATCCAGCCCTGTGGAGCCTTTCGCTCCACTGTCTCCGCGGCGCCTGCCCGCACAGAGCCTCACCCACCATGAGGCAAGCCAAGCCACGTCCTGCACTGAACGCGGATGGACCCGCTTCTGAAAGCACTGTCGGCAGTCAATCTGCACTGTCGGTCGTGAACAAATGGTGCGTTTTGAACACCGACCCAAACAAGGAGGTCACTGTCAATGACATGCAAGTTGCTTCGCGATAGAAAACCCAAGACTATGGTCTCCCCCCAAGGATTTCTCCAACACTCTGCAAATGACGCTGAACGGTTAGACCTTCATCCATTTTCAAGCTTTGCTCTCCCTTGATCCAGAAGCCTCACTTTGGTTTTGCATGCTTTTGCATTCCTATAGGTGATCAAAGAACCATGGGGAAACACTAGACTTTGGCATGCAGTTGTTGCTCGGACTTCGTTTATCAATCTTTGGTTGGGTCCTTTCGGGCCCAGGAAAAGCATCCGAGTGCCACGCCCAGTGTGTGGTTGATTCACATAAACCTTGGGATTCCTCATGAGGCGAAAATGCACCCTTGTGTGTGTGTGTTCTGCTTGATTCTGTTGGTGGGACTAGGCCACTAGGACAGGACTTGCTGGGCAATATTGCAAGGAGCCCATCGTGCCCAAACAAACCCGGGCATTGGCAGTGAAATGCAATGAACCCCAATGATACAATGGGAAAGGCTAGACCTCGTGAGCCCTCCTCGTGCTCGCAAGCAGGTTTTCACCGGTGTCCTGCCACAGGGCCCAGCACTTCGATCGCGCTCTTGGCATAGGAATCCCGGCCTTGACGACCCGTCCCAGGATGGGTTGAACCGACCTGAAACCATCTAAGACTGGCATCCTTCCGCCAGGAAAAAAGAACACGGCAAGATGTGCAGAATTTCAGAGTAGGACACATTGTTCAGTATGGACGAGTATTAGCACAGGAACCCATGTAGGTGAAAATGCGAGGCATCGGCATGGGCAGAAGAGTCTTCCTGGATATTATATAGCAGGTTTTACATTGGAATCAGTCTTCGGGCGTCCTTCCCCAGATTGTTGAAGAAGAAATGGTCCGCTACCACCATTGATGATCTACCCTCCCTGCCACCCCTCCCACAAGCACTGACAGAAGTGAGCTACCCATGGCCTCTTGGAAGACTGTTCATAGTGCTCATGAAAGAGACAGCTGCACGCAGCTATACATTATGCATTCTCACTAATTATCATTACGGGAGCCAACAAGCTTCCTCTACAAAAAGTGGTGTTTATCTACTTCGGGTTCCTCCCAATGTCTCAAGTTGTTTCGAAACAGTGCGAAAGGATCCCGTCCTCTTCAATAATTACCAATGACCGGGCACGGGTGTGCTGAATTCGACCCACTTTCTTCAAGAACACTTAGCTATTATTACATAGTATCCTTCAGAAAAAAACAGGTGAGTTCACCTCTTACAAATGCTGCGTCCGCGAAGCAGCGAGGCTTTCCTGGCTAAGCGAAGCTTTGCCTTGTCAGTCACCGACCACGCCCATCCACTCACATACAATATGCAGGATAATGCAAGCATGTGTTTCGGCGTAGTGCATCTTGAGGAAACATGAAGACACACATATCTACACCAAAAGAAGTGAATGAAACCAATCACACATATCACAACCATTTGTTGTGCGATGACACCGGAAACTCCGAAAACTCAGGGCCCATGAAACCAATTCCTCATGGATGAGGAACCCCTCATGGACCAGTCGAAGGACAAACATATGGAAGAACGACCGGTGACCATGCCCTGGGCTGCACTGATCGCCTGTGATGTGCGAAATGGTGATGATCAATCGCAAGGATGTGGCTAAGCCTCGGATTGGTATGGGGCGTGCAAACATTAACCGCCAAAAAATATCGAGGCTCCACAAGGGATCCTGTATCAGTGTCTATGTTAAGTATCATAGTCTTGTATAAGGAAGAGAGTGCAGGTTCTTCCAAGATGTTGGAAGCTTACAGGACCTGGGAGACGTATGGAAACTTGATGAAACTTGAAACATGGAAGCTTCAGTTCCTTGGGAACCTTCCAATGTAAAACACATCAAAGACCATCAAAGAGTTCACGTAAGACTCTTAGACATCCATGTATGCAACAATCGCCCCCCCCGCCCCCAAAAAACAACAAAAACTACTCCAAACGCCCCATTTCTGGGTGAATTAATTCCTCCCCGGAACTGTTGGTGATTCGGTGAATATCAAGGATGAAGCTTCGTTACTCGAATTAGTGCAAACTTTTGTCGCTCTAGTTACAGCATTAGTTGAATTAGTTTGCAACAGGAATGTCTAGTGCCATAGTACACCAGCGGCATCCAAGGGCCGAAAAGGAAGTTTTAATGTTGGGGTTGTTGGTCGTATGATATCGTACGAGTATGCATCCAAAGGCATATTAATTGCATCCAGGGCACAGTATGTTCCAAACAGCAAAGTCAAAATGCCCACAGGCACCCCCACCAAACTGAATGCATAGGGCAACAATAGAACGCCCGAACCTGCGCAAACCCGTCGACACACAACCCGTCTGAGATGCAAACACCGCAAACCGATGTTCAACTGGCAACGTTCAGAACAATCTTAGCGTCCTTGCTCCTATAGTAGTAAGGCCAGGAGCCCCTAGTAGCTTCTTGCTCCTAGTAGCGATGCCAGGAGCCCCTAGTAGCGTCCTTGCGCCTAGTAGCAATGCAAAACATAAAAAAGAACGGACTTAAGCAGCTCAAAGCAATCCATGAACCGCTTCACCCACTTCGAACGTCCATCCAAACGCCCGTCACTGTCGACCGAGTTCGGACCGCAAGTTGAAGTGGTCTTCAGCGGCGGGGCCTATGGCTGCGGACATCAGCGTAAAGATAGAGCCCCTCAAGGATCCTCGCTTCCTCAGGCGAGGGCTGCCGCGCGGTGAAGCCCTATTTGTTTCTTGTTGGGTGCAACACTGTGCAGCAAGCTGCTATAAGGCTTTTTCAGGGATGATATTCATGGGATGTGCTTTTTGGGAGTCTATGCTTCTAGGTGTCCCTAATCTGCACACAGAAACCGAAAACCCGAGCTCATTCGGGCCTGGCTCAGCCAGGTTCAAAGGATTGGCGTTGGACATCATTGGCGTTGATGAACAGGCATGTATTATCATAATGGTACATCAATGGGACACACTAGGTTCGAATAGATGAGTAAATAGTGATCATTATCTCCAATTCTAATTGAACAAGCTTAACCAGGTCATTGACTTGGAGGGATTGAATGGTTTCAGTGGTTGCATCTATAATGATATCCTTGGTGTCGAACTACCAACAAGAAAACTCTATGATACTTTCCTGTTCCTAGCAACATGAGCAACCATCCAGCCATGAAACTAGAGTATCGGCTTGACGTCTACTCAACAGTGCCAAGTCCTCAACGTTCGAACATAGCTCTTGCCATGCTCTCTTGTTCCCTGATTCATTTGTTGAAGGTGATAGCAACTCCGTGGTCCATAGACCCTAGTGAATGATCCTTGCACCATCTTGCACCCATCGGTTCAACTACTGCATTACTTACGATGGTTTCTTACTGGCCACGTCCCAACCTCCTTTTGAGAGTTGGGCCGTAAGGCACATCCAAGAATCAAGAACAACTTTGGTCAGGGCAAACTTGGACAGTCCGCTCTAACTGACGGTCTCCCCACACGCCCTGTCCGTCGCCATCCATTGGGCGAAGGGGAAAGTCCATTGAGCTCCGTCGGTGTGAGGACGTGTTTTTCTTATTTGTGTTTTGCAAATCCGTCTGAACGATTCTACCATAATGTCCCGGTTTTCTGGGGTGGAACTTTCCAGATCACTTACAAAATGAACGTTATTCATATTTCTCTTGCTCTGAAACCCTCTGGATGCAACCATCTACCATCATCCTTGACCCAACTGGCTGTCTGCCTCCGCCTGCCACCGACCTGTTCCGGAACCCGCGGCCAGGAACCGCCAACCAGCACCGAGGCGCATGGGTCCCAAGGTTCGCGACGTCCAGGAACGGGTGGAGCGGGGCGTCTCATCCATGGCGTGTGTGGCGCGAAGAGGCGTCCAAGCTGGTCCAGTTGGGGTACCCCCAATAGCCTTGGGGGCTTTGAAAGAATCATTGGAAGAGTGTTTTTTTTAATTAAAACTTTTTTTCCCGATGTCGCTATATAGAGTACTCTCTTGAATCTGGAGTATTTATTGGGCGTAGTGTAATGCTACATGCAAGTGAAACAGCATGACTTTGGCCCAGTTTTTGCATGAAGGTACTTGCTTTGGGCCTCACTGCGCCCTTTCTGGCCGAAACGACTGCGGAACACGACAGCGAATTCTTCGACGCTGTTCTGCTAGGGCGTGCCATCTTGTCATTGAGCCCACGGAATCTACCCAACCAAACAAACAAGACTATACAGGCTCCAACAAGCAAGACTAGACAAACAGTGATATTGGTGGAGGTTTGGCTGGACATGGCAATGGGCAATGGTCCTTGAATTCCATATTCCATCTTCGATGCTGGTGATGATTTTGGTGCTGTGTGCTATCTTACTCTGTAATTGCGGGCTCGTAAGGATGGTTGTTTAACGAGTGCACCAATGTCTCTTTTGATTGAACATCCACTCATTCTCCAAGTATTGAGGGCATTTTGTCTCTGATGTTCTCGGTCTTCCGAGACATGTCTCCCCCTCCTACGACTGTGCCTACCACAGCATCCGCACATCACAGGCATCGGAATCGAGTCCTGCCTGAGCACCGCTGCCTCTTCTTTCCACAAAGCCCTAAGTGACTCAGCCACCCGGACCGAGAAAAGGCCGAAGGGTTGTAGCAGCTGTGAAGCACTATATCATGGATGCCGGGCCATAACTCATTCACTAGTCCTTTCTTCCTTCTCATCGAATATTATCGAGGAATATGGATGCCTCCAATGGTTCCTTCGGCGCCACCAACTCCTGTTGGACACTTCTTGGCCGACAGCATTGCCAATGCGCCGGGACGGCGTCCATGTCGCCCAGGTTCTTGAACGTTCTGATCACTCTGGGGACCCCAAGTGATCTCAAGCAAGGTTCCCGCACCAATTCCGGCTAAAACGTCCTGGTCCATCCTGACCCTATCAAGCACACGCGTGTCTGATGTCTGTCTTGGCCGGTCGTCCTCCGTCCGAACAGTGGTTTCCGTCGCGGATCCGCCCCCCGTCCACCCGTGGTCCGAGGTGCTGTAGCAGCTCACGGGCGTAGGTCGGAAGGACTAAGAGCTCCTGAGGCTTCGAGGATTGGGCGCCTCAAGAGATCAAATGGACCTGTGAGCCGTGTGACCGCCGTTGTGAGCCCATGGGGGAACATGAGACATCCACACAAACCCCAAGAAAAATAATAGATGATTTGGAGGCCTATAATAGTCTAATGACATTTTGCACCCACCATCAAACATCGAAGCCGGAACATGCATTTCACTATATATATATATGTTTCATTACTCTGGGTGCAAGGATGTTTCATTCACAGTGCTGTTATTCGTGTTCTTTCCGACGGTTGGTGGGAAGCAAATAGGTTGGAAGTTTGACTGTGACGCAGTAGCAATTGATTTCGGGGAGCATGTAGCAGGCTCGACTTGCAAGCGGGAAGTGAACAATTAGTTGGATGCGCATGCGGGAAGTGCTGGCTAACCAAGAAGCCGTGAAGCCGTTTTCGAGAAGCAGCCAACAGCAAGCAGCCAATGCCAATGAAGTGCAAATGCTGCAACCAAACCAAGAGAAGCACCGAAACTGGGTGCTAGAACATGCAGGGACAAACAAACAAAACCACAGCGATTGAAGAACATGTAACATGAAACACGTGTTGCTCTGTGGGGGTATGGCGCCCACCGCAAAATAACTTGGAACCGCGCTTCGCAGCTCTGCCTTTATGGATCTTTGTACGTTTCCATGATGTCAAGACTCAAGACCAAAAGCTAAGGAAGCTCCCATTCTCCTGTTTGAGCTTTAAACTGTCTAAACCAACAAAAAACCGTTGCCACGGCCGCGCAACCAGTCACCCTGGGACGTCGCGGCGGCAGCCGAGCTCGAGGGCCGACTGTCCTGGCTATTCTTGTCCGGCTTCACGAACAAGGCTTCCTAAGAGATCATTTGGCTGTGGGTCGCACCGGGACACCCCGGTGGACCACCCAAAATGAACAGAATCGACTAGGAGGGAGGTCAATCTATCAGGTTCCTATAGGTTTGGGAAGCCGTCTGGCGTTTTTGTTGGAATCATTTGGGGTCTCACCGGGTCATGGTTATCTCAAAGATCTTTACTATCTATATCTACCTATCTATCTATCTATCTTTACATATCTTTGCTTACTTGAATCAAAAAGGCTCAAAAAGGGTAAAGCTCGCTGACTTGGAGGGTGGGGGTTTGGTCATCCACATCTTCCTGCCAGGTGCTTCTTCTGACTGCTAGGTGTGTGTGTGTGTGATTGCTCCTAGTTTACAGTCAACAAGAACATACTGTACACATCTTGAAGAATCACTGTGCACGATGAACAATACTTTATTATACTCTATTTATCTTTATTTATTATCTTCATTTCATCCTGTGTCTCTCACAGTGTTTCTCTTTTTAGCGCTGAAAGGAACATGCACTTCGGATTCTTGGACCGTTGAAGGCATCAACGTCACCTTGCTTGCGTCGTTCCGGATACAACATGAAACATGTACAGAGTCCCTACAACAAGACAACTAGCTATAACCAATGATTTGCACCCCCTCCCTTCCGGGGTTTGCTTTATTTGACACGCTGCTTGCCAGCGCGAATGCCACACGGTCAAATGGGCCGGAGCGTGGGGAACACCAAGCGTTTTGGAACGCGGGAGCAGAGCTTCGCCTCCCAGAAGGGGAGCCAAGTGGATTTTTCTCCTGCCCTCAAAATTTCTGGACAAGCCCCATAGATCTTGATAAACCATGATTCTGCTTATGTTCCAGGAAAGGGTAGTGCTCTTCCAGCTAATACTACCCAGGGTCATCGGTAGAATCATTTATAGCAGAATAAATGATTATGCTCAGAAATCGACTACGGAGTACAGAAATCTCCAGCTTCTGGCCAAGCTTCATAGCCTTCCTTCCGCCACTTTGCCTTCGCCTATGCCCATAGGCACGTTGGGATTTTCTTGCTGAAGATCTGTTGATGCAACCGAGGCCTCCCTAAAAACCAAGAAGCCTAAGTGGTAGAGGTACGAGTACAACATAGTACAACAGCAAACATCTAAACGAGTGGAGCCCCCTGGTTGGAGCTTCCTCTCCTGGGTACGCTTTCCGGTTGGTGGTGTGTGCTGATTTCGGGTGATCGGATGATCAAGAAACAGATTCTTAGAGCGTGGGACGCCGGTTTTTGAAGTGGACATTTGAGAAGAAGTGGCAAACAAACACATGTCAAAGAACCTTCCAGGCTTTCCTCTTCTTCGTGGCTCGACAAGTCGATGGCAGAAGCCGGTGAACATCGAAGACGTGCCGGTGACAATACCATGTCATATCCATCTTCACCTGAACCGTCATGCGATCAACCGTATCCGTATCTGCATGTATGGGAGCTAACCAACACATGTTCCTGGCCTGACAACTGCATGAACCAAAATCAACAAGTAACACTAAGTAACTTCATCTGTGATGGTCTATGTCATGTTCTCAGGTTACCCAAGCCCAGAACGAAAGGGTCTTGAATCAAATCACAAATCACCTGAGTAAACGCTTGGACCCACCCAAAAACCTCCAGAACCTGGAGTCGGCTGAAGCAAACCGCCAAGGCGGACCAGACCGGACCTAGCCTTGCAGCGGACACAGGCATCTGGCACGTCGGCGATGAAGCGTGCAATGACCTCAGGACGAACGCGCCGAGAGTCCGTCCGGTGCCCCCGCGCGACCGAGGGCCTGACCGGGTGGTGGGTCGTCATCCGCGTGGGTGCGGTGGTTACGTCGTGGTATGTCGGTCTCTGAGGGAGTCATGGAGATGAGGCAGGATCGGCCTTCAGGCGGCCTTTGTACTTCCCACAGTTTCATGCCAGTGGAAGGCTGGCAATCTTCCAAGATACACTGATACACGCTATGACCCTGAACATTGATCATCTCTTGCTCTACAAGTGTCAGAAATTGGCTTGGCCGTGCAAAAACCCGGAAGTTCCGGGTTCCCATTGGAGGATGAGGATGCAGGAAGTCCCAATGATCCAGGCACTTAGGGACTTAAAACCAAGCCTCTGAAACTGCCGGGAACTGCTGGAACCCATTGTCTCTCGGTTCAAAGACATGATTTCAAAATTGAACAAGGTATAAACATCTTTCAACTAGAAACATTCTAACCACGTCAAAGGGATAGGATGGAAAGAACTGAACCTGCAGCGCACACGGTGCCTCCTTGCTCTCCCATGGTCGCCCACACCTCACAGCGGGTCTTTTCTGGTCACTCGCGCGACAGCAGCAGGTCTCGGGCGGCCTCAGCTGTCGAGAGAGGGAGACGTCCCACGGTGGGACAACGTACGTAGCATGGGTCAATACCACCCAAACCCAAACAGCATGCAGCAAGCTGCATGACTGGCAAGAAAATATGGGTGGTGGATTCTCGAGTTGATCCGGGATCGTTCTTGAAAAATTACGACGTCGGTAAGCGGGTCCATCCACAAAAAAGCAGGTAGAACAGGGGATCAACGGTCAAGCCTTTTCTTCTCTTCTGCTGCTCAGGACATGTTCCACGAAGTCATGACAGTTTGAAGGAACGAAAGCCCAATCTTCAGCTGGCAAAAACCACGCCACAGAATTGAAACTGTACCTCCAACACTTTTGATTTGCTTCCATCTTAGAGCAAGAATGCCTTTCGCGCATCCAAACGGCTAAGATCTTCTTGAACTGCTCTGTGAAAGCAACGCGCAACTGTTCCGGCACCTTGTCCTCAGCGCGTTCTGGCTGGCTACCAGGCTACCATCTGGTCCAGGCCGGGTGAAAGACCGAGTTGGCCCTGCATGGGAAACCAGGCAGGAGCAAAGGGCATCGCTACGAACGGAGCGATCGGACGCTACTAGGGTGGAGGCTGGCGTGGTGTTGACTGAAAGCGCAAGTCATCAGAAGTGTA